AGCAATTGGCTTCAGCTTCTTAAGCCCTGGCAGGCTGTTACCGATAGCTTTTGTCACCTGCTCAAAGCTAGCTTCCGCCAATTGAAACAACCTCGTTCCTTGCAAAGCAACCGCAAGGCCTTTGCCTATCGCGGTCAGCCACTTCTTCGCTTCTGCAAAGAACACCGCCCCCTTCTCCACGATATTGCTGGCCCTGGCCTCAGCGGTTGCAGTTTGATCAAGTCCATTCGCCTTTTCAAACTCTTCTATGTCTTTTTCCAACCCCTTGCGCACATCCTCATCGACGGAAGGATCTCCCTCAAGGACACGTTGAATGAGATCCTTCATCGAATCATGTAACCATTGACCAGCCAGGTCCTCGTCTGGATCAATGTATGGATAATGAATATGGCGCTCACTGGCGAAGCCAACGAAGTATTCGAACCACTGATCAGCTATTCCCTCCGATGGTGCCAATGCGTCAAGGATACAGCACTCGCGGTTGATAACATTTACGCTCTGATTGAAACATCGCATCAATAGAAAGCCACAGTATAAGCGCAACGCTTTTACTTACGCCCTGGATAGGATGTGCTAGATACGTCAACATTCGCCCCTTATCCTTCAAAGCGGCGTAAAGAGTGCAGGCCCACTCCGTCGGGTTATCGTCGAGATATTTATCGAGTATGTCTTTATTAAATTGTCGAACGGCTTCAACAGAAGCCCGGCGGTTGATTTCTGCATATTCCTTGGACTTTGCAAGACACTTGTCACCCTACAAGAGATAATGAAAGCGCATTAGAATTCTCTCATTCATCAGAGATTTGTTATGTCGCATAATACTCACATTTCCGTCCCACCAATACCGCATGTTCTTCTTCTCCTGCTCTGTGAACTTGTCTTCATACTTGTCATAACGCATCACCGACTGACATAGAAACGCCGGGGCGTACTTCTCTCGAAAGAATTTCCGCAAGTCTGACGGGAGATTTTCCGCCAAACTCGAATCTAAGTTTGTGGGCTTGGCCTGGCCTGTCAAATCTTCGCGCTGATTGTCATCCATGTGGTAGAACATCATCGATTTGATGAATACTTGGGTCATGTTATGGATCCGTGCCGCGATACTTGGTCAGCTACGGAAACCCGTTCGTCCTATGGGTCATATTTAACTTACTGCAACCTCATCATAGCCATACGGATTGAGAAGTTCGTCAACAGTAGGCTCTTGCAGCAGATGCAACTGTTCAGTCACATCTGCTGGGTGTAAGGCCGACGTGAACGATGTCGGCGCAGTCAAGTTCGCACAATCTGCAAACGCTCTAGATGTCTTCAATCGCATATCATAGATCTCGGAATCATCAATGTCGGAAGTCCCACAGATGTAATGCCTGCATATGTTAGCACATGAAGCAAGACATATGGCACAGGTAACTACCAACCTATCTCCTTTTGTGTCACGCATCAGAGGGTTGTAGTCGAAGATGGCGCCCTTGACAGTGCGTAGGTCCACATCATAGTCGATATAGAATGACTGGAAAAGAATCGGAAGAGTAATATCAATCCCCAACTGGGACTGGAAATTCACATTCAGGGTGTTGACGTCCATTCCAGCATCGGAGATAAAAGGCACGATGCTTGCAAGGTTAAATTCTACGGTTGCTCTAGTCCTTCCGTCATCCAGTATTACCTCCCAGCTATCATAAAGCCTCTCAAACTCTCGATTGTATTTTTCGTTCAGTCGATCTCTGAGCTCGTCAAGAATAGGTACTCTCGTTTCTGTGGTCTGGGATCCATCGGGTGGGTACAGAAATCCCCATTGGACGTCCATACCGGACACAGGATCCTTCGGTTCATCTATTGGTTCATCCGGTGCCCAAGTGCTCTTGTCGTATTGCATTGAGACTGTGATAACGGGTATGTATTCCCCTTCATCGTCGCTTTCATTTTCGCCTGCTTGCCGCTTAGCTTGAAGCAGCTGGATGTTTTTTGCTACGCTTTTGGGCAATGTCTCAAATGCTTGGACGTCCTTCTTTGAGCAATCTACTGGTGCATCTGTGGTAGAAATGAGTACCACACCCTTACCCGACAGCCCGTGAGGGTAAAGTGATAGAACCCCATGTTCAAACATATTTTCTTGAACTCTGCGTGTCCATTGAAACGTTCTCCTATGGTGGTTCACCTTGCATCTCATCTGAGGCACGTCATTTATAAGAATACAGTCATCTATGACGCTCAAGTCGGGCAGCGTGTATGCCGAAGGCAAGTTGGAGTCGCCTATTGCTAACAGCGAAAATCTCCTTTGTATCCTGTCCAGAGGCATACCATTGGGTAGTTGTCGAGGGTTGTATTTCATCGCTTTTAGCTGGTCACTTGGAGAGACCAGGGCCGGGAAGATTTCGGACCGTGAAATGAAGCCTTCCTCTCTTTTCCCATAACTTCCAAAGAGTTCGAAATTCAGTCGCTCATGGATAGCTTGAATGTCGTTCTTCGTGAATGTCGAACTGAGTTCGTGAAATGACGCAAGAAGTGAGAGTCGCTTCTTCGGTGGAAGGGCACGAAGAGCACGGGCCGTGGCTTCCACAGCTCTCTGAATGAATCAATTACAAGGGCGAATCGAATATGGTAATAAGGACCGCTTGAACTTACGTTGGGATCATTTATGGCAAGAAGGTAACCGTTCGCGTGATGCGATTGCTCGCCTGCCCACAGCGACACGCTGTATACGGTCTGCTCTGTTTCGGGGCCCACTTCTATGGATCTTATTTCCACAATTTCGTACGCATTATTATCGAGACTTCCAGCCAGGCGATAGAGGATATGTCCCCTTCTCAGTGGCCCAATATGGGTATGTGGACAACTCCCTTTGGCGGAATCTGGGTCTACCGCTCGAAGTCCAGTAGTAGTGTAGAATACCTGCGATGGTGTTGTGAAAGGATTTTCACCGTCTGTCATTTCATCAGTTTACTTAATACTGCCGAAAAATGTCAATGAATGTGGAGCTTACTGAAACCGACCGAGCACACTTTCAGAGCCTTTGACGCTACGGTGCCATACCCTTCGTGGCTATATCGCGGCGGCTTTGCAGACACAAGGAATCGGTTGTTGTTCGTAAACCCCTCTATCTGCTTCGATTCACTTCGAGAAAGATTCAGGTTTGTTCCAGATAAGAGACTAGATTGTAATTCGACAGGTATAAGCGGAGATAAATTCCTGTAACTCATGGATGTAACTATATCATTGCAGTTAGCTCTGACCTCATATTCCATAAAAGTTCACATGAAGGTAAGCCGGGATGGGCGAGCCTAACCCTTGTTGATCCAGTCTGTTAGAGCGCTAGTATTACGTTCTCTCCATGCGGTGCGTACACCATCACGCCAATTCTCGGACATGTTGTAGTAGAAGGTCGTGTAGAGCTTCTCGGAGTAGCTTACAAATTCGTTGATGATAGCTTTTTCGTCAATCAACCTCTTCAAACTTGCTTGGATGCTGTCGAGGTATGGGCGAAGTTCTGGAACTGAATCTGTATCAATCGCAGCTATAACTGCCTTGTAGAAGAAGTTAAGTGCGTCAAAAGTCGACAGCGAGCCTAGCACAGAGCAATATGCCATCGTTGCAGCTATACCACAATTCTTCACGATACTGTCTGTCTCCAGCTCACTGCGTCGTCCCTGTTCATCCCATGTTACAAGGGACCAGGCATGGAGTGCTTTAAAGCTTGGTCTGTCTTTCGAGAACAGTCTAAATATGTCAAGCCATGCAGTTTTGTAGTACAGGTAGTCCGCGACCAGAAGGGTTGAAATACTAAACAAATGATCCGACCTTGTGGGATCAGTCAAGGCAAGGTTGATGATGAAAGATTTGGTTTGTATTCTGTTGATGAAGTAGTCTGCGAAGCCGGTAGTGTTTGCCAGCTCCATGAGGCTGGGGTGGCCATTGCTTTTGAATTTAGTATTGAGATGCTCGGCAAGACACATCGACATGAGGCCTCGGAGTACCCCTGGGGTAAAAACAGGATAGAAGAGATACTGAGATCAATGGGCCCCGTGTTAGCTACTGCTGAAGCATTTCGCAGCCATAAAGAAGTAATGGACTGACCGGTGCCAGTTGCGCTGCCATAGCCACCTGCCAATACCCATCATCATCAATTCTCATAAATTCGGTAGCAAGGAACCAATTCCCCAGCCTGCTGAAGTCATTTCCTGTGTCCATGCCATCAAGCTCCTGGTTGTGACTTTCATCACCAGCAGGGTATGGTTGGTCAGTGCCAATGTACTTCCTCAGACTCTTGAAGTCACTGTTCCAGCGAGCTCGGAAATGAATTCGGCGGGAAAATCCATCAAATGAGATGGCAGGGAGTGTCTTCAAATCCGCCAGAAGGTCCTCCCAGATAGCATCGAAATTGTCAGACATGATCACTGAATATCCTCCCCTATAATCTGACCTGAAGCAAAATTGAAGTAGAAGTGATTAGGGCTGAGATAGAAGTAGAGTAAGACTGAATAACAGAGAAGCAAACCATCAATATGGCTCAACACGCCATGAGAGGTGATGTGATAAGACCACACATCTCTGATCTTAATGCTACTTGAGGTAGCGTTATCTTCATATTCCATTGAGGTGTAATACTTAAACTTGACATCACCCACAAGAGACACAAGCTCTCTGGATTTCCTGGAAGAAGACCAAATGAGCGCGTATGTGGTGGTTGTTTTTCACAGATCACAGCAAGCAGTTGACGAAGTTTCCATGGAAGGTGGCTGACTAACGGAGTCGCGAACCTGTAATTCAACGAGTTAAGCCAGTTCTAGTCGCAACAATCATACGATGCGTGTCTGATTTATCCAATTACTCTGTGGTAACATGTTTTGAAAATATGGTGTGTTTCTGATTTCATAGTTCAATAACCAATTGAGGCAACAGGATATCATCAATAAGCATTATGCTTCTAAGCAATCGCAGCTCCCTGCTACAACTCCAAGGTAGCCATCTATGACCCCGCACTAGTATGCTGTCATAGCTGATCAAGCTTCATCAGTATCCTCTTCCGCATGTGCAAAACTTTGCTCTTTCGTCAGAACCAAGTTGCGGGTGCAGAGAGAAAACGCAACCAGCGGCACGGTCAAGCAAATTCCAGTAATACACAGCAGCCTCTGCGCATGCTTGTAAGCAGCTACCACAGCATCACGATCCGAAGTCCCAATTGGGTAAGTAGTACTGAATGTGAACGGATCCTTATATGCTTGAGCTGCCATGGTGGTGTTACCGAGTCTACTGTTTAGCTCTCCGGGGAGAACTTGGGTCCAGACGGCTCCAGAAATGCTTCCTCCAATTGCAGTGCCGATATTTTAGCATGCCAGGAATGATCCAGTGACAACGGCCAAGTCTTTCTGATGTCAGTATTAGTCTTAGACAAGATATAGGAAACTCACGCTCATGCTTGGTGGCAGCTTGGATGCTAGCTTGCGCAGGGTATGGAAACAACCCACCAGCTAAACATACTAGTCAGTTTGATTCAACTTCCATTTGGTGTATTTTAACTTACCAATCCCCAAAAGGATCTGAGCGCCAATTATCCCCGAATGACTCGACGATGTGGGCCCTCCACGGTAATAGATCAGGATTCCATAAGCCACCATGAACAACAATGTACCTCCAACGATGAATGGCTTGAGTAGCCTGACCTTGTAGACTACAAGGCCCAGAATAGATCCAGTGAGAACACTGGCAAAGCTTTGAAGGATAAGCTTGACGTCTATGCAGCGATCAAGTTTCCAGCAGCTTACCTATAAAGAGACCTGATCCTGGTTGCGCTTGTAATACTCTCACCAAAGCTAACAATGAGGACGATGTAGAGATATTCACTCTGAAGAGCCCACGCTGCACCTCGTTAGACAGAGTACTGGCAGTATATGCCCCCACTTACCGGTGTTTAACATAACAGCAATTCTCAGGGCACCCCAGCACGCTCTATCTTTCAGAAGCTATAGACCCATTAGTATCGGAACATCCAAGCCATATATTGACTGCCTACCTTTAATGGGACCATAGGATGCTTGCAGCTTCTCTCCCAAATAACCCATGCCGGAATACAACACAGCCCCAAAACGAGAGGAGCGATGATCCTTGCTTTCTTCCACTGGGAATCCAGGCCGCCGGCTATCGTGAGAGGTACCAGAATCATAGCAAGAAAAGCGATCATCAGGATAATACCAATCACGTCCAGTTGCCAAAACAACTCAATCGCCAGGCGCCGAACACCCAACGTGCGGAAGGCGCCTGCGATATGATCCACTGTACCATCCTTCTTGGCTCTGTGGTACACAATGTAAAGAACCATGAGAAGAGGGAGCGTGCAGACTAGAATCTGTCAGCAATTGACTGACTTGTCCTAGGATATACTCACTGGGATAGATTATTGCAAACATGCCGATTCCCCAGCGCCATGTGGTCATTTTCAGCACAGCCCCAGTTATGTTTCCACTAATCCAAGTGTTGATCTACCGGCATCAGCTGGGTTCAAATACTTCATTATTTCCAACCTGTCCAACTTACCAAAAATGGAAGTGTTGGAATATATGAGAACAACAGACGAGAGCGAAGCGACGTGACATCCGCAACCAAAACCTCGACCAGCAGGGAAATAGCCGTATATCCAATCTATTGCACACCACAATGTTAGTCGAAGCGTAGCAGTATCTGTTTAGCCAAGTGGGACTCAACTCACCTGGTAAAGCACGGCGCCCGCAGCAAACTGCTCGACTGTACTCGAAGACGCCTCAACAATAGTGCTTAATGGACCGTCAGAACACACCAACTCAGGGTAAATTGCATTCAGTACCAAGGGTGTAGAAAAATATCGAGACCAGAATCAACTCCAGTCTCCCAAAAACATCGGCGATCTTAGCTGCAGTCGGCTGCATAATAAGGCACAGTAGTTTCTGAATCACAAGACCAAGGGGCACAAACCTGCGCTGCTGCTGCAATGACCGCTCTGAGAATATCGACACTCGATAACACACTATGTGATTCATATGACGCCGTAGCGTATGGCTAGAAAACCATGAGCATTGATAGTTAAGTAAACATACTGGCGAAGGCCGACCTGATAAGTGCCTCGCAATAGGCTATCGAGGCCGTAGACATAGGCAATGAGGAAAACGCCACAGAATAGAAACACACGGTCGAGTATATGTAGGTGAGATGAAAGAGCCTCGATCCGCTGGACGCCTGGACTTCCAAGTCCTACGCCAGGACCTTGCGCGTCATGAGCCGAAACGGGAGTCTCGGCGGCATGAGAGCTCTCCTTATTATTAGACATCATAGCTCTGGCTTGATTCTTCCGTAGGGTATCCGGAGCGGGCTTTGCCAATAATAGCAGAGAAGTGGTGTGAAAGCGAGTGGGGGATTTGAAAGGATAAAAGAGTGTCGGACGGTGGTAGGAACGTCAGCGGCCATCATCCCAGCATCAGCTAACACCTATGCGACGGGAATAAAATCCCTCTTTCATCCATTTAGTAAACAACTGACTTTCTATCTTATCTGATGAAAGAGGCTGGGGTCTGGAAAGGCCCCACTTCGATCTGATAAATATGCCGCATTGCTGTTGCTACTCACATAAACAAGAATCTCCTTATACTCCTTTTCGGAACACCGATAGGCGAGAGCAAGATATGTTGTGTCCATCCTCTCGTTGGTGTTGCAGCTGTAATATCAATACTATCATGATGAGCAGCTCTCGCCGATTTGACATAAATCCGAGTGCTACTTTCGTCATGTGTATACTATGCTCAGGTTATATCACCACCTGGCGCACCACTTCTGGATGAGGCCATTTTACAGATATATGCGCCTGGCTAGCGTCATGCTGAGCAGCTGAATAGAATGGAGCAATCAAAATGACATATTCACTTCATGTATTCATCCACCTTGAGCAAGTATCATTTGTCGCTGACGATACCAAATCATTCAAGCATTAAAGTCAGCCAAGCTACCCGACCGAGTCACATCACTTCAATACTACCGGTTCTCTCTAAATTTTCCAGTCTTGTGGTACGCATGATGGCTTGCCGATCGCGTTTTCGGATCACCACTCTTGTGCATGGCATGACAAGTGTCAACGAGTCCCTTGTGTACCATAGCCCTTGTGTTAAGCGTGTGGAATGTTACGCAGGCCAGCTTCTTGGTCTGATAAGCATCAGCAACTTCCAGCAGGAGTCAGTTGAAATGTAGAAGTGAATCAGGGAAGACAGTGATGGTGTATCTCGCATTCGGCGACGAAACAGCACAGTTTATCAATAGAAAAGTAACTCAAGAATGAAGACTGTTCCTTCAACAGAAGGAACTACTGAACTGCCCTATGATAAGAGACGATCACAGATATGATAGAAGGGTGGGTGAAAAAGAATGGGTCCATTCGTCTACTAAGCCCGGGTACAGTAGGGTTTAAAAAAAAAGGAAAACAAAAAAGAAATCACATTGCATCATCCGTGAATCGAACACGGGCCTCATCGATGGCAACGATGAATTCTACCACTAGACCAATGATGCTACTTGATTGAAAAGAGTTGGCATGTTTTGAAACATAGCCTACTAGATCGGGAGTTACGCAACTCTTCAACAACGATCATCATCCACCGCACACAAAATCATGGCATACCCTTGACCATCTGACCTGACGTGTACGATATAGATTGTATTAGGTTCTACGGTACCTAGATCATCAGGTCACCCTTCTAAGCTTACTTTGTGCCAGGGATGCAGATACCTACTACTAACAGTAGGCTTTTTGTGATCATCATTTCCAGCGTAAAGGTTAGTGACATATTTTATTGCCAGGAGCGGTTGCACAAGTGTTACACAACCCATCATTTTCATCATCCAAGCTATGCAAGTCAAAGCCCAGTTGGGAACATATTATGCATGTTGCTGAATACAGGGATCATTATAGGGAACAGGAAAAGAATAATGAAACTGCGGCGCTCTAGACACAGTGAGGTGAGAAGGACAAGAAGCGGTTGTGGTACTCTCCAACCCGCAGAGCATGTTCGAGCACCGTTCGCCAAGCGCGTTTACCACCAGTGACCTGCTCGCGGTTAAATTAACCTATTTATCCCTGATAAGTCAAACAATAACCTGAAAGCCTCCCGATAGCCTGATGAAGCCTGACCCCAATGACCAAGTTATGCCAAGAGGAACCTTGATAGTCGGACATCTCGCCAAACCTTAACCAACTATCCTTGTTTTCCAGGAGCGACAGCAAGAGGTTAACACTTTTTTTTGCCAGCACAGGAAATGCACAATGCCCTGCAAGTGATAGGCAATTCCTAGCCGAAGGGTGGAATGTGCCAGTGGACACCTTCCCGATGCGGCTGCTCGCATTAACTTCTCCTGCGTATCTAGCGGGTGATGGGGCCCTGGTATCATGGTGCACTATAAAAGCAAGAAAAAATTGTCAGATCCCCGCGAGTATTGACAATGGAAACAATCCAAAGTTGCATTGCGCAGTTATTATATTGAAACCGGGCGACATTGATCCCTAGATCTTGCTTCGCCATTTTCGCTATGGACGGAATCGTGAGAGAAGCACTCCAAGGGCTTTCAGGTATTGTCGGAGACAAACTCCTATCTGATCAAGCAACCTTAGCCAAACGTCCAACAAAAGAGCAGCTGGTCAAATTGTTGAAGTCTTCTCCGCCTGACCAAGGGAGGCCACTGGAAGACGTTGTGAAAGAGTTCGAAGATATTCTCTCTTATCGATTCAACGTCAATCACCCAAGATTTTACGCCTTTGTACCCTCGGCAGCCTCTCCTATATCGTGGCTGGGAGATGTCATTTCGACCGCCTTCAACAATTACGCAGGGAGTTCGGAGTCGGGTTCCGGGATTTGCGCGGTAGAAGAATCCATCATTCGCTGGGTAGCCGAAAAGTTTGGACTGCCTCCGTCAGCAGGGGGACAGTTTGTGTCTGGTGCCTCCCTTGCTTGCCTTACTGCATTGACTGTTGCACGGGACCAGCTTGTGGAAGATGACATGCGCACAAAAGCAACAGCATATGTGACAGAGGAGACACACTTCTGTATAGCAAAAGCGCTCCGTATAACGGGCCTATCAAAGAACCAAATAAGGACCGTGCCCTGCAATGCCGAATTTCAAATGGACCCGGGGAGTCTTCGCCGGGCTATCACCCAGGACATCGAAAACGGGTTGAAGCCGTATGTGGTGATCACAACCTGCGGCTCAACCAATACTGGAAGTATCGATCCTCTTGATGCAATCGCGGACATAGCAGCAGAGCACAGGATGTGGATGCACGTCGACGCTGCGTATGGAGGATCAGTCGCTTTCTGCCAATCGCGCAGGAACCTTCTGCAAGGTATCGGCCGCGCTGACAGCATCGCGTATCCTCACAAGTGGCTCTTTCAAACCTATGGCTGTAGTGTTGTCCTTTTCAAGGACAAGTCCCATCCAAGGGAGAGTTTCGCCACAACCGCGCACTTCTTACGTGATGTCGAAGACGGCTATGTCGAAAATCCCTTCAACTTCGGGATCGAATTGACACGACCAGCTCGTCACATGAGGCTTTGGTTCTCCCTGCAAATTCTCGGGACGGACATGATTGACCGGATGATTTTGCGTGGATTCGAACTTTCGGATCTCGTTCAGACTGAGCTGAGTAAGCTCAGAGAGTGGGAAACCGTTACACCTAGTAACATGGCTGTTATCAACTTCCGTTTCAATCCGCCTGGAAAGAGTGCAGAGGCCATCGATGAAATTAACAGCCTTGTATCCCAACGAATGGCGGCTCAGAACATCGCAGTCGTGCTCACCACCCGCATTCGCGGGGTTGTCTGCCTTCGTATGTGTACAATCAACTCACAGACTACAGATGACGACATTCGCGATATAATCGACGCTCTGGATCGGAATGTACGATTGGTTAGCAAAGGGATCATAGATTGAAATAAAGAATGCTGGGAAATATAAGCATAATACTTACTGCTGTAACCAGAGTCGTTTCATTATCTCAAACGGGAATGGCGTAACACAAGTGTAAGTGAGGGGGGTGGTTGTCGCATTTGACATCTAGTGCTTTAAGGTTATTCTGATCAGCTGACTCTTAAGGAGTTTGTTTGATATGACAGCATGCGTTATATGCAGCAGCACTGAATGAATACAATTCTTGCTGCAGCGTTGTGGACCAACAAAAACCTGTCACTACACGATTGTTTAGGATGAGACCGTAATCACCTTGAGCAGCAAATTATGTGAATAGCGAAACACAAGTGTATAATAAAGGTAGTATCAGCTGATGGGTATCGCGTTTCCGTTCAGCCTTTCGAAGCGAAACCCTTTGCTAACTAGTCCGCCCGACTTCAACCAAGCATTAAGCTCGCTCGGGTGGACGACATGGAATATCAGCATGACCACAAACATAAGCAAAGCGTCAAATACATAAAGGTACGCCTCATGAGAAAGCAAATATCCTCCAAACCCTTCGATATACTCGATGAGACGGTAAATCGACCGCACAAGGATGAGCACGCTAGCTGAGTACAACACCCAGATAAGCTTCTTCCAGTTTATCTCAAGGGAGTACGGCGTCGGACTTTGTAGCATGCGACGGTGGAAAATTGCGGTGGTGATGATGAAAAAACCGAAGAAAACAATCTGGACCACGAGACCGACGACAATGATATGCGAACCGTTTTGAGCACCGCTTTGAGAGTGAGTACCCATGAGACCAGCTCCTCTAGGTAGAAGAATGAGAATTTAGCAGGTGTTTGTGGCATTTTCAACTGAAATGATCCCTACCTCCGGCTTGAAGAAGAAATGATAGAACGTCACCGGTGACGAAGATCTTGGTCAACCATTTCACTCTAATGAGACTGAGATTTTGAGCATGGAGAACAATAATCAACCTCCCCAATTCCATATATATACTAGCCGCGAAGAGAGCAGGCGCAACCAGAGGTAGCAGTGAGTTGATCAGGAAAGGGCCCAGGGTCCAATTGGGGGATTGGTTGCAAGAGACAGCACGGGCGCAGTAGCCTACAAACTCAACTGCAGTGAACCACGTTAGAAATGCTCAGTATCCTTGTATGCAGTTCATCTTGCTTACAGTATCCCCCAATGAGGAACGGTATGAAGAACCATGTTTTCGTCCGGATGAGCTGGAACGTATGCAAGAGCGTGGTTAGGACGAAACAAATGATGAATACCACCGCCGCTGCTAAAGACGGGTAATAATAGTAGTATTCAAAGCCGGAACGAATTGCGAGCCCCGTTTGGTTCAAATTGAGTCCCCTCTCCCTGGACTAC